GGGGGGGTGGTCGTGCTGGGGGGTGGTCGTGCTGGGGCGTGGTCGTGCTGGGGCGTGGTCGTGCTGGGGCGTGGTCGTGCTGTGGTCGAGGTCGTGCTGGGGTGTGGTCGTGCTGGGGTGTGGTCTTGCTGGGGTGGGGTCGTGCTGGGGTCGGGTCGTGCTGGGGTGTGGTCGTGCTGGGGTATGGTCGTGCTGGGGTGGGGTGCTGGGGTGGGGTCGTGCTGGGTGTGGGTCGTGCTGGGGTGTGGTCGTGCTGGGGTGTGGTCGTGCTAGGGTGGGGTCGTGCTGGGGTGGGGTCGTGCGTAGGGTGGGGTCGTGCTGGGGTGTGGTCGTGCTGGGGTGCGGTCGTGCTGGGGCGTTGTCGTGCTGGGGTGGAGTCGTGCTGGGGTGTGGTGGTGCTGGGGTGTGGTCGTGCTGGGGTGGTCGCACCCTGTGATTTATCGATCGGGTCGTGCTGGGGGGTGTGATCGTGCTGGGGTGTGGTCGTGCTGGGGTGTGGTCGTGCTGGGGTGTGGTGGTGCTGGGGTGTGGTCGTGCTGGGGCGTGGTCGTGCTGGGGCGTGGTCGTGCTGGGGTGTGGTCGTGCTGGGGTGTGGTCGTGCTGAGGTGGCCCGCACCCTGTGATTTATCGATCGGGATTTCAAAAACAAGCGTTTCGCCTGAGACATCCTCAAATTTTAATGCGCCGGCCCACCTCGACCTCGATATCTATCTGGGAAAGAATCCACCGGCCCACCTCAGTTGAGGCACCGGGGACAGGTTTACATACTAAAAGAGAACCCTGGGCCCACGCCCTTTCCGGGAAAAAAGGAAAGTCAATGTTCGCTGGCCTTTGGGGGCCATCTCGGGGGGCCTCCTGGAGCCCTCTGGGAGCTTCTCTGGGGCCTCTTGGGCTGTCTTCAGGCCGCCTTGGGCATCTTGGAGCGCTCGTGGGCCGTTTCGGGACCCCCGTGGTCCGTTTTGGGCGCCCTCTGGCCTCCAAGAAAACCCGGCGGGAGCACGCGCCAGCACGCGGCGGCACGCGCCACGCCCTGGAGAGTTCGTGGAGTGGGGGCCCGGGCAAAGACGGAGATCGCGAAGGCCTTATGGCCGGTGCCGCCGACCCCGGAGGAAGGCCCCCTTATGACGAAGGCGGCAGCGGGAGCTGTTCGGGAAGGTCGGGGCCAGACGCCCCGCAAAATTCCCCTGATCGGACGGGGCTAGGGCGTGGGCACCTCCGTTCCAGAGCCTTCTGGAACTCTCTCAGAGCGTTCTGGAGCGCTCTGAGGAGGATGCGGCGCTCGGGACATCCCCCAGAGCCGACAGATCTCAGAGATTCTCGATCTATCATCACCCGAATTTGTCCTCCTCCTGGTTTCGTCTTACCATGATGATGGTGACAGCCGGAGTTGTTCGGGAAGGTTGGGACCAGACGGATGCAGAGTGCTCGTGGATAGTGTGGGCATTAGCGTCTGGAGGCTTGGAGGACGTGGGTGACAAAGCGGCTGGGAAGAGGGAATCGGAGCAGTTGATTCCTGACCTCCCCAGGCAGGGCCGCGCGCGGTTCCGAGGGCACATGTTTTCCCCCAAAAGATTTTCGCTCCGCCAGTTCCCCCTGGGACTTCAGAGACGTTGACGCCATGGACAACATGATCGACCCACGAACCCGGAAAGGAATATAGAAATGTAAGACTTGGCAACGTTTCAAAGACACTTGAATGGGCGACGGGCAAATGCAATGCTCAGTGTATCGATCTTGATGTACCGTGCCGAAGGCAGTGCTGTGCTGCGCCGTGCTGAATTGCGATGTGCCACGTGACGTTTGTGCTCTATAGCCTCGTGGATCGAGTCCTCCTTTGCATACGAGTCCTGACCGAACTGATCTGGCACATAGTAGCTGCCCAAGAGCTAATTAACGGGGGGGCATGCTAGGAAGACGCGCCGCCGAAAGTTCCAAGGGACGCGTCAGGCGACGTGCCAGGGGACGTGCCATGGGGACGCACCGCGGGACGTGCCAAGGGGACGCGCTACGGAACGTGCCAATGGACGTGCCACGGGACGTGCCAAGGTACGCACCAAGCGAGGTGCCAGGGGACGTGCCACGGGGACGCACCGCGGGACGTGCCAAGGGGACGCGCTACGGAACGTGCCAATGGACGCGCCACGGGACGTGCCAGGGGACGCGCCGCGCGACGTGCCAGGGGGACTCGCCACAGGACACGCCACGGAACGTGCCAAAGAACTTGCCAAGTTACAATGCTGAATGTATCGATCTTGATGTACCGTGCCGAAGGCAGTGCTGTGCTGCGCCGATCTGAATTGCGATGTGCCACGCCGCGGTTGTGCTCTATAGCCTCGTGGATCGAGTCCTCCTTTGCATCCGAGTCCTGACCGAACTGATCTCGATCTTAAGCTCGAGCTGCCTGAGCACATAGTAGCTGCCCAAGAGCTAATTCACGGGGGGGCATGCTAGGAAGACGCGCCGCCAAAAGTTCCGAGGGACGCGCCAGGCGACGTGCCAAGGGACGTGCCATGGGGACGCACCGCGGGACGTGCGAAGGGGACGCGCTACGGAACGTGCCAATGGACGCGCCACGGGACGTGCCAGGGGACGCGCAGCGCGACGTGCCAGGGGGACTCGCCACAGGACGCGCCACGGAACGTGCCAAAGAACGTGCCAGGTTGCAATGCTGAGTGAGTGTATCGATCTTGATGTACCGTGCTGAAAGCTGTGCTGTGCTGCGCCCGCGCTGGCAGGGCCACGATCCATCGTAAATTACCTGCGCCCGCGCTCCCAGGGCCACGATCCCTCGTAAATTACGCTGCGCCCGCGCTCCCAGGGCCGCGATCCCTTGTAAATTACACTGCGTCCGCGCTCCCAGGGCTACGATCCCACGTAAATTACACTACACCCGCGCTCCCAGGGCCACGATCCCTAGTAAATTACACTACACCCGCGCTCCCAGGGCCACGATCCCTCGTAAGGGCTCCTGGGTCTTCCTTGGACCTCTTGGGCCCTCCTGGGCTCTCCTGGAGCCTCCTGGAGCTTCTCCTGGGCCCTCCTTGGGCCCCCTGGTGCTTCTTGGAGCCTCCTGGGTCCTCCTGGGTCCTCCTGGGCTCTCCTGGGCCCTCCTGGGCCCTCCTGGGCTCTCCTGGGCTCTCCTGGAGCCTCCTGGGCCCTCCTGGGCGAAGTCAAGGTCCGAAAACACATGGGACTTGCCACATTTCTGAAATTCGGTGCCACCCCTCACGCAGGTCGGCGGGGTCAGGATCCGAAAACACAGGGGATTTGCCACATTTCTGGAATTCCGTGCCACCCCTCACGCAGATCGGCGGGGTCAGGGTCCAAAAACATAGGGATTTGCCACATTTCTGGAATTCCGCGCCACCCCTCACGCAGATCGGCGGGGTCAGGGTCCAAAAACACATGGGATTTGACACATTTCTGGCATTCCGTGCCACACCTCACGCAGATCGGCGAGGTCAGGGTCAAAAAACACATGGAATTTTTGTTATTTCATCGCTTCGCTCATTCCGCCGGCCCATATTGTCGCACCGTTGTGGGCTAGCCGAGTTTTGGGGCCTCTTGGGGGCCGTTTTGGGGCCTCTTGGGGCCTCTTTTGGGCCTCTTGGGCGCCTCTTGGGGCGTCTTGGGGGCCTCTTGGGGGCCTCTTGGGGCCTTTTTGGGGCCTTCTGGGCGCCTTCTGGGGCGGAGAGCTCGATTTTTCAGTTCTCGGTTCCCCTCTTGAGCCCCTCTTGGGCCCGTCTTGGGGCCTCTTGGTCCGTCTTGGGCGGCACTTGGGCCGTCTTGGGGGCCCTCCTGGGCCGTTCCGGGGCCGTCTTGGGAGCCTCGTGGGCCGTCTTGGAGCGGTCTTGGGGGCCTCTTGGGCCGTCTTGGAGCGTCCGGAAGCCGAAAAAGCCAGAACGCAAAAAACATTGAAAAAACAATGAAAATCAACGATTTTGGCCTCTTGGGGCCCTCTTCGGAGGCCTCTTGGAAGGCCCTTGGGGCGTCTTGGAGGCCTCTTGGGCTGTCTTGGGGCCCTGTTGGGCGTCTTCGGGCGATCTTTGGCCGTCTCGGGGCCCTCTTGGACCGTCTTGGAGGCTTCTTGGGGACCTCTTGGCCCGTCCTGGGGCCCTGTAACAGGGCTCCGGCATCTCTGACCCGACCTTGCCGGGACCTTGCCGGGACCTTGCCGGGGTACTTTTCGTCCGGGGACCCCCAGGGGCCGCCCCGCGCGCGCGAACTAGAAATACTGTTAACCAGGTACCGGAGATCTTAGCACGCCCTGGCCCGTTGGGCCGGCGAATTTCCGAACTTATGCAACTTCAAGAATCCAAAACTCTGTTCCCAGCGCCGTTCCGGAGGCCGTGGTACCTCGTTATTTATCGAGCGAACGCGTTTACCTCGTTTTTTATCGTTTAAAGTCGATGTCGGAAAAAAGTGGACTTCACCTGTGAAATATCGAGGTATCCTTAAAGGCAGTAAAATTCCAAGAGCACGATCTGCGTGAGGGGTGGCGAAAAATGGCCTTCGTCCTCACAATTGAAATCCGCCGGCCCCCTTCGACTTCGTAATTTATCGCACAAGAATTCCGCCGGCCCCCTTCAAGTCGAAACCGGGGGGTAAACTACTAAAAGAGAACCCTGGGCTCGAGCTCTTTCCGGGAAAAAATGAGTCATTGATCTAGTAAGCGATGAAGCCACAGAACTCTGATCGCTCGACCTGGTGAGATCGCCAAGGGCCTCAGGTGCCCTCTCGTGCAGAGCGCGAGCGCTGGAGCATTCGGCAGCCCCCAGGTGGCGACAGATGACGATCATCGACGGTGTTTGGAGGCTCTTGGGGCACCAAATGGTACAGCCAACGTAGAGGATCTTGGTCGGCTTCCTTGCCTTGAAACCATTCGTTTTGTTATCCTCCAGCCAAGTCCAGTTTGGCCAGTGCCGTTGGACAGCCAGGCATGGACTCCGAACCAGCGTGGTGTCGCATCAAAATCAGGCTCCTCACTGTGGCGTGCCCCTCTTGATGATTGCCCAGGGACTGTATTAGTAGTGAGCTCTTTCGTCTTCGAAGCGAGTAGGCGGCAGGGGTGGCTCATTCCTATGTGCTGTAGTCTCTGCGGCATACCTGCCGAGGGCCCCTGGACCCATGGTGTCTGGCAACCTGACAATCGCTCAAGGAACGCGACTGTCGGCGGCGAACATTGAAACAGGATGCGTGCCATCTCCTGTGCTGTCGTTGTCCCTGCGCTGCCGTTCATCACAGCACGCCACGCATCCGCGGATCACCCGCTCTCACCCATACCGCTGCTCCCAGGGCCTCCTCTGGGGTGCGTTCTGACCAGGACTCCGAGGCGAATCCAGCCGTGGCGACGAGGGCTGGGGAGCGGCATCGGTGTCTCTTCCTCCCCCGGCGCTCGGTGTCCCTCCGAAGGCCGCCGTGGACGACCCGCGCAGCTTCCGGGAGTACCTGTTCGGGATGGTCGGGGCGGAGGTCCCCGCCCCCGGGATGCACGGCGCCACGCCCGACGTGCCGCTCGTGTGCCCTCCGACGCCATCGCGCCAGGTGCTCGAGCTGGGCACGGGAGGGCCGAGGAGCCTCAGGACGTGTGTGGGCTCAATGTGTGTCTAGTCAGGTGGGCTTCGTCGGCAGCACACAGCCTGTGTCGGCCCCCGTGGCGCCGCCCGCGTCGTATTGAGGGGCTTCAGTGGTCAAGCACACGCTGGCACCAGCACACGTTTGGAGGATCATCGAGACGGAGGGGAGCAGGGGAATGAAGTTTGAGTGGAAGGGAAAGGCACCGATACCGCTACCCTTGTTTCGTTTTCGCTTCTTTGGGTCTCCGTGGTGGAGGCCCTCGTCGCCACGGCTGGATTCGCTTCGAAATTCTGGCCAGAACGCACCCCAGGCGAGGTCCGGGGAGCAGCGGCATCGGTATCTTTGGGTCTCTCCAGCAAGGGAAGAAAACCAAATGCAGCGCGAACACGTGAGCGATCGACCTTTCTGGCGGTGACACCCTTCGGCATTACCTGGAGGTCCGCGCGGATTTCGTGGGTCGGCGCTGGACCCGCCCATCCCCGCACATTTGGCGGCGCCTTTGGGCGCCGCCCCTAGCGCGCCCCGCGCGCTGGGGGAGGTGCGGGGAGGTGGGTCTAGCGCAGACCCACGAAATCCGCGTGGGCCTCAGCAGTTTGTATTCGGAAATCTTGTTGGTTTTTTGTGTATGGTCAGACGTCTTGGTTGCCTTCCGTCTCTCCGACAGAGCAGGAAGGCTCCGATCTGGTGCGGTTTTTGCTCGCACTGCGCACGGCGGGCGCACCCCGGTCCGTGGTGTCGATACCGCGGCGTGCACCTCGAAGCCGCCACATGCACAGAGCAGCACGGCTGACCCATCTGCGCGATGCTCGAGAAATGGGACAAAGCACAAGCACAGACTTTCGGAGGTCCGCGTGGATTTCTTCCTGGCGGCGCCTCTGGCGCCGCCTCTGGCGCGCTTCGCTCGCCGAGGAAGGGGGTCAGGAGCCGACCCGAGAGATGGTACGCTTGCCTCCGAAAGTTTCCTGTTTGGGCCGCGGTTTGCTGCTGCTGCTGTTGCTGCTGCTGAGCTCTCACTCTTGAAGAACAATTACTGCTGATCCCCCTCACCGTTGCACACTATGTTTTTTAATGGAAGTGCCCCCCTCTTCGGGCTCGCACCGTGTTCTTTTATCGGGGAGAGTCTTCCTGCTCAAACTGTATATTTGGCCCCCCAGCTACAATAACAACGGCTCCCGCTTGATACTTCCTCACAGCGTATTCCAACAACGCGCTCTCGCGCGAGACTTCCTCGCAATTGATGCAGGAATCGTGCTCCCGCGTGGGACTTCCTTGCAATTTATTCAGGCGGCGCGCCCACGACACTCAGGAATCACGCTCTCGCTTCGGATTGTCTAGCGACTTATTGGAAATAGCACTATTGCTCGAAACTTCCTCACGATTCAAACATGATTCACGCTTCAGCAACCCGCCTGCTCGACCTGGCCGCCTGGGCCCGCCTTCCGACCCGCCCGCTTGGGTCTGCCCGCCCGACCTGCCCGTCTGGTTCTGCCACTTGTTTTCTGCTCCTAGCCCCCCAACTGCTAATTTCTCTCGTGCTCCAACCTTCTCCCTCCCCCTTCCATCCGTCCTCTCTTCCCTTATCTTAGGGACTGCACTCAATTCGCATGGCAGGTAAGGAAGATATACCCCCAAGGGGGTACGATCGAGGACGAAGTGGGCGGGTACAGAGGGTTTGGGACATACGTGTTGGATGGCACGCGAGCAGATCGGAGCAAACATTCGCAAACAAATTGTTGTTCTTGCACATGTGTTCGAGTCTCCGCGCGATCATGTTCGCTCAGCTGAGGGGAGGTGCTGCGCAAACGGCTAAACGAGAGCTTGGGCCCGGACGACAGCGCGCTGATCCGGGAGGACAGGGGTGACCGGCAATTCTCGCTCACGCACACCCCCTGAAGGGTAGAGGGATGCGAGTGTAGTAGGTCACGAAGGAGCAGTAGTAATGTTTGCACAGGCGTTGCAGGCATTGCCCATGTGCTTGCGGTAGGTTCCACCATCTTGCCAGCGCAGCAATCTGTGATGGCCAGGCCCGCGAGCGCCGCAACGTCATGGGTGGCATCGGGCACTTTTGTTCTCGACTTCCAGGAGCCTGTGCAAGGGCTCCTTGAAAGTCTTGTCTCACCCTCCTGGACGTCTGCTGAGAGTTTTCGGGGTATCTTGGAGGTTCGTTCAGTCGTCTGGAGGGGTCTCGGGGCAGTTTGAGAGGGCCCTGGGGGCTGTCTTGCAGGCGGGGACCTCCGGAGGCCTGCATGGATCCGGTACCCCGCGGAGACCCGCTCCTGCCTCAGCGCCGCCGCCGCCACCACCATTGCCACCGCCTCTCGTCGCGCCGCCGCCAACGCCTCTCGTCGCGCCGCCGCCGCGCACGCCTCTCGTCGCGCCGTCGCTGCCGCTCGCCACCGCCGCTCGCTGTCGCCGTCATCGCGCCGCCTGCGTCGCCGCCGTCGCCGCCGTCGTCGCCGCCCTCGCCCAGGAGCTCGACGACGCGGAGCGGGCTCGCCACGCCGGCCACGGCGCGCCGCCCGACGTGGGCTCCGGCGCCCGCGCGGACGTGCGGAAGGCCCGCGGCGACGAGCGACGGCGAGCGACGACGAGCAACGGCGAGAAGCGGCGGCGGCCGCCGCCAGTGCCTTTCGGAGAGGCACGGGGGGTCGAAGAGGATCGAGGATCGAGGCCGGGGTTCGAGAGTCCAGGCTCGAGGGCTCCTGGGGGCCGTTCTCAGGGGTGGTGCAAAGCCAGCCTGGTGGATTCGAAGGGTCTCTTCTGGAAGTCTGTCTGGCTCTCTCTCTCTCTCTCACTCGCTCTCTCTCTCTCTCTCTCTTTCCCCACATCCAAAGTGGGGTTCTTGTTTTCTCTGCACACCCCGCGCAGGAACCCTCACCCCACCCCCTCTCATCTTCTGCCTTCGCACACTCACTCACTCACTCATCATCATCACCACTCACTCACACTCACACTCACTCACACTCTCTCATCATCAACATCAGCATCATCACTCGCGCTCTCTCACACGCTCAGTCACTCACATACTCATCATCATCATCATCATCATCATCATCATCATCATCATCATCATCATCATCATCATCATCATCATCATCATCATCATCATCATCATCATCATCATCATCATCATCATCATCATCATCATCATCACTCGCACTCTGTCACACGCTCACTCATTCACATACTCACCTGGAGGAAGTCTCAGGCGGGAGCTTCGTCTGTGAGTGAATTGTGAGGAAGTCTCAGGCGGGAGCCCCCTCCCCATGGGGCCCGCACTTCATGTTGGTAATCCGAGCGGGTCATCCGAAACGTGTAACCGTCGTCACTTTTGGGCTCTTGAGGCCTGAATATGGAGGAAGTCTCGAGAGGGAACCTCGTCTGTGAGTGAGTTGCGAGGAAGTCTCAGGCGGGAGCCCCCTCCCTATGGGGCCCGCACTTCATGTTGGTAATCCGAGCGGGTCATCCAAAACGTGTAACTGTCGTCACTTTTGGGCTCTTGAGGCCTGAATATGGAGGAAGTCTCCAGCGGGAGCCTCGTCCGTGAGTGAATTGCGAGGAAGTCTCAGGCGGGAGCCCCCTCCCTATGGGGCCCGCACTTCATGTTCGAATCCGAGCGGGTCATCCGAACGTGCAACTGTCGTCACTTTTGGGCTCTTGAGACTTGAATATGGAGGAAGTCTCGAGCGGGAGCCTCGTCTGTGAGTGAATTGCGAGGAAGTCTCAGGCGGGAGCCCCCTCCCTATGGGGCCCGCACTTCATGTTCGAATCCGAGCGGGTCATCCGCAACGTGCAACTGTCGTCACTTTTGGGCTCTTGAGACTTGAATATGGAGGAAGTCTCGAGCGGGAGCCTCGTTGTGAGTGAATTGCGAGGAAGTCTCAGGCGGGAGCCCCCTCCCTATGGGGCCCGCTTTCCGAGGCGCTGGCCGAGGCGGCGACGGCGCTGAGGAAAATGGATTTGCTTGCCCCGGCGAGGGGGAAGGGGAGGTGCACATGGAGAAACGGCAGGGGGATGAGGAGGGAAGGGGCATGGGGGAGGCCGACGACGAGGAGGAGGTGGCGCGAGAGGAGGAGGAGGAGGAGGAGGAGGAGGAGGGAGGAGGAGGGAGGAGGGAGGAGGAGGAGGGGGAGGAAAGGAGAAAGATGAGGAGGAATATAAATAGAAGGGGGAAGAGAGGGCAGTGCAGGGGGCGAAGGGGGAGGGTGTCCGCCAGGGGGAGGAGGAAAGGGCAAAGGGTAAGCTAAACAGATTATCATGCGGGGTCCTACCGTCGGAGTATTTTTTTTCTTCTTCTCTCTCTCTCTCTCTCCCACACTGTCACACACATACACACACACACTCTCTCTCTCTCTCTCTCCTGCCCCCTCGCATGCACGCACACATGTGCCTACACAGAAAACGCAGAACACGCAACAACAAGAAAATGCTCCAAAGGGATTCGAATGGAAAACGTCACAGCTAAAATAGTTTAGAAAGCCCCCCAGAGAGATTGAGTTGAAAGCATCACAACAGGACTCCTTTGGTGGGAATGCGCTACACAAGGGATTCGATGGGACGACCTCGCAGCAGGAATTCCTAAGAAAGCGCTACAAAAGGATTTGATGGGAAAGCCTGATAATTATGATATTCAGGAAAGCGCTCCTCCAGAAGCAGTGTTAGCCAGTGTGGACGCCAAACAGTGCGTTTCTAGTAATATGTGTGGAACAGTGTGTGTGTGTGTGTGTCTTGTGTGTATGTGTGTGTGTGCAGTGCGTGCGTGTACAATCTATGGCGTGTGCAAACTATGTGGTGTAGTCTATGTGGTGCACTTAATTTCGAAGCTTTGGAGTTCACAACTCCACTGCTCGCGCAATCATTCCACCCACCCACCCGCAACTTGGTTTGCAAAACCCACGCGGCGGCGATTGCGGTGAGTGCTTGGTGCTAGTTGGTGCATCCTTGCGGCCGCGCTAGCCCGCGCATGCTCGCGCGCACAGCGGCCAGCAGTAGTTTGGTGCGACCCACTCGACCGCGGTGGCGCTGACCGCTGGGCGGCTCGCGGTTCCCAGCGCGTCCCGCAGGTTGCGCTAACGCGCGGACAGTTGCGCGTCGGTGACATGGGCGGGCGCGGTATCATGGTGACGTCGGCAACGGTACACACGATGATGGTCGTAGCGATGATGGTGGCGATGATGAGCTTCCTTCGCGGGCGTTTTGCGAGCAGCGGAAGGTGCAGCTGCACGCATTTCTGGGTGTTCCAGCGGCTGCTGGCTGCAGTGGAGTTGGCCGCGTGGCAGGCGAGCCACAAGAGCGCGGGGGCGGCGGGCCCCCAGGCGCGCCAGCGCAGGCGGGCCGTTGCGGCAGGCGTTCGCCGCCCAACCTGGCCAGCAGAGGGCGCGGCCAGCGCAGGCGGCAGCGGCCGGCGCGCCAGTCGGCCAGCCGCCCCCCCCGCAGCGCCCCCAGCGGCCGTTGGCTGCGGGGCAAAGCCTGCCGCAGCGGGGCGCCGCCGAGGCTGCCAGGGACCTCTTCGGGGAAGGCGCCTGGGCGCCGCACGTGGCACTGCAGGGGCCAAGCTAGGTCGCTTGACTCCGTTACGCCGTGGCGGCCCCGTGTTGGCAGGCATTTGCGGCGCGACCCTGCCCCGGCTGGGCCGCTTCGCTGACGCCCCGCGCCGCCGCGCTCTTGCTAGTCCGCGCGGGGCGGGCAGTCGGGGCCGAGGCGGACTGGCACGACGCGCGGCGCAGGCAGCTCGCGGCGGTGGCCGGGCTGCCGAAGTGACGCTAATGCCAGCAGCTCTGGGCCACAGGGCTTCCTTCGTGGTATAAACATGTAGCGGTGATGACGATGGCGACGGCAAGGCCAATGACGGCACCGATGCTGATCACGCCGATGACGAGGATCGTATCCTCGCATCGGTGAGGAAGGTTTTGGAATGATTTCGACATGCGCGCGCGGCCGACGTGCGCGATTGGCCCGCATGGTAGTATTTGCAGGGATCGTGCCCCCCCAGCACGCGCGCAAGGGTGTTCGAATGATTTCGACATGCGCGCACGAGAGGGCCGTTTAGTCGAACGTTATGGACATGTCGAACAACATATGGTTTTCGTAAGAATGTACAACAGCGCGCAGATGTTTTTCGAAAACGGATGTTTCAAAATCGTGCGTTTTTTTCCACAACCATCCTCTGGTTTCGGGTAATCGCTTTGAAGAGACAGCGCCCCGCGTTCCTTTTTCCTTTCATTATCCTTCCTCCTCCCCCTCCTCCTTCTCTCCCTCCTCTGTTTTTCCTCACATCCAAAGTGGGGTTCTTGTTTTCTCTGCACACCCCGCGCAGGAACCCTCACCCCACCCCCTCTCCTCTTCTGCCTTCGCACACTCACCCACTCACTCATCATCACCACCACTCACTCATACTCACACTCACTCACACTCTCTCATCCTCAACATCAGCATCATCACTCGCGCTCTCTCACACGCTCAGTCACTCACATACTCATCATCATCATCATCATCATCATCATCATCATCATCATCATCATCATCATCATCATTCCCCACATCCTAAGTGGGGTTCGTTTTTTTCTCTGCACACCCTCCGCGCAGGATCTCTCCTCCTCCTCCTCCTCCCTCTCCTCTGCTCCTCTTTGCTTCCTCCTCCGCATCATCATCACCATCACCGTCACTCCCCACTCATTATCATCATCATCACCATCAGCATCACCATCACCATCGCGCGATCATTCACCATCATCGGCACCGAACGATCATCATCATCATCATCATCATCATCATCAGCAGCATCATCATCATCATCATCATCATCATCATCATCATCATCATGATCACTACTCGCTGACTTGAGGCCTGAATATGGAGGAAGTATCAGGCGGGAGCCTCGTCTGTGAGTGAATTGTGAGGAAGTCTCAGGCGGGAGCCCCCTCCGTATGGGGCCCGCGCTTCATGTTCGAATCCGAGCGGGTCATCCGAAACGTGTAATTGTCGTCACTTTTGGGCTCTTGAGATTTGAATATGGAGGAAGTCTCGAGCGGGAGCCTCGTCTGTGAGTGAATTGCGAGGAAGTCTCAGGTGGGAGCCCCCTCCTTATGGGGCCCGCACTTCATGTTCGAATCCGAGCGGGTCATCCGAAACGTGTAACTGTCGTCACGTTTGGGCTCTTGAGGCCTGAATGTGGAAGAAGTCTCGAGCGGGAGCCTCGTCTGTGAGTGAATTGCGAGGAAGTCTCAGGCGGGAGCCCCCTCCCTATGGGGCCCGCACTTCATGTTAGAATCCGAGCGGGTCATCCGAAACGTGTAACTGTCGTCACTTTTGGGCTCTTGAGGCCTGAATATGGAGGAAGTCTCGAGCGGGAGCCTCGTCTGTGAGTGAATTGCGAGGAAATCTCAGGCGGGAGCCCCCTCCCTATGGGGCCCGCACTTCATGTTCGAATCCGATCGGGTCATCCGCAACGTGCAATTGTCGTCACTTTTGGGCTCTTGAGACTTGAATATGGAGGAAGTATCGAGCGGGAGCCTCGTCTGTGAGTGAATTGCGAGGAAGTCTCAGGCGGGAGCCCCC